CTTCAAATTTCCTTTACTACTCGGAAACCAAAAGCCCCACTATTTCTCATGTTTCCTTGCTTTAGTATTTCACCTACTCTTTGGTCACAGACTCACAGTCGTCTCCAATCTGCCATCTAAGAAATTCCTTGGATCCAATGATCAGTACTTTTTATTCAAGGGAAAAAATGGTAACTGCCATCATTTAAGATTACATTTTGATAAATATCAACAGTTGGTAAAAATTTTAGAAATAGGGTCATAATTTAGATAATTGAAAATATATATATATATATAAAGATAATGAGATTCTCTAATATTATATATGGATTGTGACGGGATGTAATTTATAAGAAACAAATATAATATATCTACAGATATTTTCTCTCTCACCATAAGTTATCCTATACTTCGACGAGTTATTTGTTCTCTCCCCGAATCATCTATGCGATCGATATATCTACACAATTGTGATCGGACAAGTTGTTAGGTTTCTTGACATTGTTCCAAATATAACATTGTAAAATTTTGGTTATTTCATTCTTTTTATGATTTTTTTTTTATAAACTTAATAAATATTTGTGTCGCATTTCTAAACGTGTTGCCACTAGTGTGATTGTAACTCTATATGTCCAATGTAAACATGTGGTGACTGGTGTAAGCAAGTTCCGAATGGTGTGATTCACTTAATAGGAAATTTTGCAATACATTTAACGTGATAGGTACCAGTATGTTGTGATCGATGTTAATATTCTGTCTCGTGTGACCCATAAAGGTAAAATGTGACTAACATCGAGAGTATGACGTGCACCCTGTAAAGGGCACTTGTGACCTTATGAATGATATGGAATATTGTGTGGCCTAACCTGGGATGAATATCATGTCATATTGTGGGAATTTGATCTGTATTTGTGACCTAATGATATAGGGTATTATGTGACATCTGGTGTGAGAAGTGTGACCTTATATGTAACTGGTAACAATGATTGGTGACAAAATGTTACTTGTTAAATTAATGTGGATGGTTGTGTGACTACCATTAATTAATGTGACATTTGATCTCTATTGTATGGCTTGATAATCTTTTCTTCCTTTAACGTTATTGTGAACGTGTGCCCTATTTTGCACTCATGCAAATCCTAAAAAGTGGGTTATTTCCTTAGTTGTGACCTTGAACTTATTATTCCTTTTTGCAGCAATGGGGAGATTTTAGCCTTTTCTTGTGTTGTGGAGGCAAGTGGGATGAAAAATGGAAGATATACTGGTACCAATATGATTGAAATTAGTCTCCAAAAATTGCATATACAATCAACTCATTGATAATGTAATTTCCGAGATGATGTTCGATACTACAAGTGTGATAAATTGAATGAAAATCTACCTCGAGTAAGAACTTTGAGCAAAACAATATACTGTTCTATTTGAACAAACGGACATGCATTTGCATGATGTTTCAAGTCGATAAAACCTTATGTACACACACATTGGCTATTATCTCATGTTTGCACGAATTAGCTATTATTGCAACATTGAAGATCGATGCATACCGTTATTGCTCAAATTATCAAAAAATACGAAGACCCAAATTCTCTATGGGGAATCGTGCAGACTAGGCAATTAACAGTACCTGGCCCATTGGCTAGAAAATGGTTGAAATTAGGATATAGAGTGGTATATCCAGGAAAAAAATCCCACATGGGCTAATACCCAAAAATAAAATAAAAATAAAAACTTAAATTTTTTTTATTAAAATTTGGATTGGGGGGACTGACTGTAGCATAGTCCGGTCTGTTCTTAAATCCACCCCTGATATGGTGATTTGTTTCTCTCTACATTAGGATTTTTTCTCTTTGAGAAATATAATTTTTTTCTTTGTAAATTGTTCGTTTTTCTCATTTGGTAATTACTAATGTAAATAGCTCATTTTCGGAATTGTAAATCGGTTATTTTAAAATAAATACTGATAATCAATTTATTCGAAATTCCTAAAGTTCTTGATTTGACACGTCTCAAAAGAATTAGTTAGCGCTAAGGTTTGAGCCTTGTTTAAACAAAAGGCAAACTTTATTGGGCCAATAGTTCACGGGTCAAAAGAACCCAACACAATGGATATTTTTCAAGTAGAAATTACAAATTCTAATAGATTAAAAATTTACATTTTAAAAATAAGATGTCATGTTTAATATTTCACAAATCAGAATTTTTTTAATTAATTAATATATTTAAAAATTAATCTAATAAATAATAATTTCATAACTAATTTATTCATTTTCTACCTTTCTCTTTCTAACCCCAATTCTCTCTCTCACCTTACTTGCCCCCACCCCCGATTCTCTCTCTCTCTCTCTCTCTCTCTCCAGCTGTCACAGACATAGCGACGGCAGATGCAGTAGATCTGAGACAAAATTTAGCATATCCAGTAGATGACGACGACGGTGGATGACGATACGCTGATCTGTACGATTTTGTAGCGGAGGTGGATATTCATATCGCGGCAGCGGATATGCAGATGACGATTTGTGGATATGGCAGATCGTGTGAGGCGGCTGGGTGGTGTGCGTTCGCTGGGTGTGGGTGTGTATGCAGAATGACGGTGGCGTGGTGTGCATTCGGCTGCAGCATCAAGACGTTGATGTGGGTGTGGTGTGAGTGCGTGGGTCTGGTGGCATGTGCGATATCGGTAATGGTGTCTGGCGATCTGCAGATCGTGGATCTGTTGTGGATCTGTGGTGTTGGTGTGTGGCGACGACGATAGCAACGATGATTTGGGACGATTGCGGTGCTTGCAGACTGTGACTCCCAATTGTGGTGTTGGTTTGTGGCAGCGACCAGCCATGATTTGGGGCGGTTGCGGTGGTTATGGACTATGACTTGCAATTGTGGTGTTGGTGTGTGGCAGCGACGGTGGTGTCAATGAAAATTGTGACTGTGATTGTGTCTGTGACTCACAATTAGATACGTGACCTGAAAATCATGACTGTGACTCACAATCAATTAATTTGTAACAAAAAAATTAATCGTGACCTAAAAAATTAATAATTTGTGACTGTTTAATAAGTTGTGACCAACAATGTTTGTGATATGTAACCTATAAATTCTTTTACTCGTGACCTATAAAATTTTCGATCTGTGACCGAAAAATAAGTTGTGACCAATAATTTGATAAGTTATGACTAAAGATTAATTTGTGACCAATTAATTTTTTGATTTGTGACCAATGAACAAACTACGACCTACAAAATTTTCGAATTGTGATAGTAAAATAATTTGTGACATAAATTTTTTGAGTTGTTACTACTTAAATTGTTAATTTGTGACCAAATTCTATAAATATGTGACCTAAATATATTTAATTAGTAAAATAATTAATTAATTAATTAAATCATAAATATATCTTAATAAAAATCTGATTTTTGAAATTTGAAACTTGTTTTCTTATTTTTGAAATGTGTCATAATTAATCTCTTACTTATGAAATTTTCCCATTTTTCAATGGAGTCGAACTTGTTCAACTAATTTTAAAATAACATTTTATCAGTTAGAATTATATATAATACAGACTAATGCTTTTCAACTAATTTGTTAATAATAATTAATTAGTATCAATTATAAATCATTTGATTTCATTTATACGTCTCTCTAATTTTAGTGAATAAATTAATAGAGAAGTTTGTATTTGATATCTAACAGAGATTCTAATTAAAAATAAATAAAAAATAAAACATTCAATGCCCTTAGATAGTAGGGAAGTGCTACATGTACATAATTGTCTACATAATAGTATCCATAATTACATGTGGCACTGGATCGAACCTTTAATTCAAATCTTACACTGTATATCAACAATCGGATGATTGCCACATCACATTCTGGACACTATTATGTGCAATAATTATATACAAGTAAAATTTTCGTAGATAGTATTGAATTTACCCGTATATATTTCTGGAAAATGCGAAATATTTTAGTGTAAAAAAAATATTAATTTTCTAGTTTTTTGGGGACTTTAAATTTAAAAATTTATAGGTCAACATATATCGTGTTTATTTCTCTAATTCGGTGGAGAATGGTCCTAGTCAAATGAATAATGACAAAACATAAACACTTATTTACCAACTTTTTTGACTTTTAAATAAGCTACAACCCAAAACCCACTTCAAGTTTAGGAAATTACTTGGAAACTTCCTTAGAGAAGAGAGAGAGAGAGAGAGCTTGTTAAAGCTCCATTCTTTTGAGGGGGAAAAAAATATTTTAAATAATATTTTGACATTATTTCAATCATATATTTTTCAATAAAATAATATTACATTTAAATTCAAAAAAAATTCTTATTTTTTAACCACACATCATCGATATACTATTTAAAAATACATTTTTCCCCCAGAATGAGGCAATTTTATAATATTCAACATATTCGCCCATCGAGAATCGTTTTGACTTGAGAATCAAGATTATTTTGTAATAAACTAAGATTATTAATATTTAGCTTTATTTTAACTTGATTATGGGGATGACGAAGGGATTGACTGACGCAGCTAATACTATTCACATCTCGGAATTTTCAGGAGGCGGCGAAAATTAAAAACTCCTCATTTAACTAATTATTTATTTTTACATTTTAAATATTATTTTGGCATAGTGATTTTTTGGAATGTCTGGTTAAAACGTAAGGAAAAAGTTTGGATCTGTGTATAAAATTATTTTATTTGAAAATGTAGTTGAAAATAAATTTTGAAAATATGAAAGAGACTCAAACAAGGACTAAAAATGTGAAAGTGAGTTTTATGAAAAATAAAATAAAAATTATCAAGCGACGAGGTGGCTCGATTGACTTCATCAAAAGGACGAACCAAGTCTAAATTTCTTGAAGCAAGTAGGCTCGCGCTCAATCTGTCCCATAGTCGAGCTTGCTTACTCGTGTGATGAGTTAAGTCGAGCGAGATAATAAACAAATTGAATAAATGATAATGTGTTCAATCCATCTAACGTCCCTAATATTACGAAGATGGACGCGAGCCCACATAAAACCTATGGAAAATCCTTTAATTTTAATATTCTCTCACTTCCCACTCTTCCCCCAACCTCACCCCATCCCCTACGAAGCCACGGCCACCATTGAAGAGTTGACCACCCTAATATCCAGTGATCTGAAAACTGTCTAAATACAATCAAGAAATGATAAAATTCTATTGAATGGAACCAAACAATTCTTTCCTATGCTTTGAGTAAACTCCAATCCTCCTCCTCCTCCTCCTTCTTCTCTTCTTATTCTTGCCTGAAAATCACTCATTCATGGAAAGATTAAACCAGTACAACAATTTTGTCTTACTTTTCTCTCTTATAATCACCCTTGGCCTTGTCTCCTTCTCTTTATGCCTTGCTGCAGAATTCAACAAATCGAAGGTAATTTCTAAATCAATTTTTATGTTCAATGCTTCCAAATTTGCATAATCTAAATAAGATTAATTCAATTTTTGTATAGAAAAAGGATCTGAGGTTTGATGACGAGCTTTGTTATTTGCCCGGAAGCCCGGCTTTTGGATTCGGAATAGCAGCTTTAATCTGCCTTTTCGCCGGTCAGCTTATCGGAAACTTGTTCGTCTGCACAAAGTTTAGTGCGAGAGTTCATCGGAGTAGTTGTGATGATAAATTACAAAGGCCTATTATTGCTACCATTTTCTTGGTTTTTTCATGGTAAGTAAATTTTTATTTCCATTACGTGAGATACAGTAATATTGGCCGTTCTAAAGATGAAATTGGTTTATTTCTCTATCCAACACCTACCCTTTTTTTTCCCTCCACTCACTCAATCTTTGGTACTCATTTTTTCTCAAACTAAGTCCGTGTTTGGCCTCAATATTTTAAAATTATTTTTTTTTCTTAAACTTATTTTCAATTATATGTTTTATGGTACCCACATCGTCTATCAATTTCCCAATCATATATTTCATTAACTTTTATCAAAAGTTAATGATAAAACTTATTTTTAGCCAAACCAAACAGGGGCTAGTTTTCAATCACAAATTCTCTCAATTAAAAAAAAAAAAATGAAGGACACAAATTTTACATGGAACTCATAATATTTTTCTACTTTTTAATAATACCATTTTCAAAATTATCATTTTCTATAAAATCTATTTCTATAAAATCCGCATCAACCACGTTATTCAGTCGAGTTTTGTCTAGTTGATATGTCGAATCCTAATTAATGTAATTAGTAATGCTATTTAGTTCCACTAATGTTAAAACACTAGTCTAGGTGATATTAACATGCCATTAAATGAGATATACAATCAAATAAATTACTTAATTTTTCTTTTTATTGAGTCTATCACTTAGGGTCCGTTTGATTGTAAAGATGGAATTTGGATGGAAAGAAAACGAATTTCAAGGAATTGAATTGCCTAAAACTCATTTTTACTGGGGAATTAACAATTAAATGTGTTCGATTGGTATAATTTTTCACCTGAAAATGTTGAAATTTTTTATCTTTTGGTGTTCATTTCACTTTATTTTTCATGAAAAATTGTCAACTAAAGGGACAAAATTTGTTACAATTGAGGATAAAATTTGTTCCAATTGCCCCAAAAAAGAAAAAGGTTGGCTGGAAATTCAATTCTCACCATTTCAAAACCATGGAATTGACACGTGTGAAGTGAAGTTGGAAAACAAATTCCCATGAAAATTTTTAACAATCAAACAATACAAATTGAGAGGAAATAGAAAACATTTTCCATTTTTCATGGAAAATCAAGGCTATCGAACATGGCCTTAACGTCGTCTACACTGGCACCACATAACAGTGTAACTATGACATCTCGACCAATTTTTCAATATTCCTATTTCCTAGTTGCTTAATGGGGCAGGGTGGACTCCACTTTTAGTCACTTATTCTAGTAGAATTTATTTTGTGCCAAATTCCTAGTGGAAGAACCTTCTAACGTGGACAACTGGGATTGTCGTAATTTCCTAGTCAAATCTGAATATACAATGTTCTAATAATTAGTAGAGGTATTTTAAAAAATGTTTAATTTTATAGTTGTTAATTGAAAAATGCTTATTTTTTAAATTTAGCACTAAATTATCTATTATGCCCTTTATGAAAAAAGAAACAATTTATTTATTTTTTCAATTTGTTGCATATTTCGAGAAGTAGCTTCCATGAGAAGTTACATTAAAATGATGTTCTCGACATTTCAAATGTCATTCTCGAAATTGAATCTCGTTTATATTTTAAAAGTACACATGTCAAATCACAATATTAAATGTTCTCGACATTTCAAACGTTATTTTCAACATTTTAAATCTTTAGAATGACATTTTATTCCGAACATGACAATTCTCTACACTTAAAATGTAATTTTCGACGTTTCTATGTCAATGAGAAAAATAGTATTAATCGTGATTTGACATATGCACTTTTGAAATAAATACGACAAGTTATGTATTAAAAATTTATTAGCCAATAAGATTTTTGCAAAAATGTCTATTTCTTGTCTTTGTATGGAACCATAAATTGATCACATGGATATTTTGGTCCAAAATATTTCAAAATGGACATTTTTGCAAATGGACGCGTGAAAGTGGACATTTCAACCAATTTCCTCTAATTAATATTAAAATATGTAACAGGATCAGCTTTGGAGTTTGTGTAATTCTAATCAGTACAGCCACCAGCATGAGCCGAAGTCAGTCCTTTGGGGAAGGGTGGTTAGATGGTGAGTGCTACATAGTCAAATCTGGAGTCTATATTGGCTCGGGTATATTGGCTGTGCTTGCTCTTGGTTTAACCCTAGGGTCTGACATTGCAACGACAAGGCAAAGGCGAGTCGAAGAAGACATGAAAGTGCACGCACAAGTTGAATGAGTTTAAACTCGTGCATCGAATGGATGTAAACGCACAAATGTGTTGATAAAGTTTTTAATATCCTATTAGCCTACGTCACGATATATATATACACACACACAAATATAGAGTTAGATTGATGGAAAAGGTTTTAATAAATGATTGTGGGATGTTACAGAAAAAGGTGTATAGGCTTTGGCCTCGACTAACTCAGAGAACTTCAAAATATTTGTTTTGCTTATACGTTTCAAAATATTTGTTTTGCTTATACGTTCTTCCACGAATGAAATACCCAAGAACGGTTTTCTATTCAAGTGACAATATTTGCTCATTTTTTGTTTAATTTATTACCATGTTCACTAAAAGATCTAAAATAATCAAGCTTTTGATATGAATAATGTTGTTAATAGTCAACAACTGCAATAATCATCTTACGTAACATTTTTGTTATTTAAGAGAATTGAATTACAAAAAACTAAAGTCTTAAATAACAAGTTATCGCATAAAATGACTACAATAATTATTGAATATGAATAGCATTATTCTTTTAATTTAATTTTAAATGTTAATAAAAATTTAAGTTAAAATCAACAATTAATTTTAACAACTCATAAAAACCAGAACTTTTATCAAAAATTATAAACTTGATTTTAAGCAAAATCAAGCAAGGGCTAAGGGCCCGTTTGGCATGGCTCTAAAAAATCAAAAACTACACTTGAACATGTTCAATTAATTTTATAAAAACAACTCCTTATAGCTAAAAGAGTTTTTCGGCTTCCTCTAAAAGCTTTTCAAAAAAAGAAATCTCTTTCAAATATTAGTTTTCAAACACAAGAAACGAAATCAGAACAAAACCCTTGCCCAATGTGCAATAATATATGTATATCCTTTTGATGAAACACGTCTTTTCAATAAGGATAGTTTCTTGAAAGCTACATAGAGTAAACGAAGTGACACGGACCTAATACTTGCAACAATGACGTACTACCATCTAAACAAGTTAAAAACTCAAAGTCTTATCCTCTAATGATGGCACACAATGCCAAAGAAAGTTTAGTAGAAAGTAGCAAGTAGAACCTCTCATAAAAGGAAAAAAAAAAAAGTAAAATAAAAAATTGAGAACAACTCCTTGTCCATGACGTAAAACATGGAATATAGTGGTTAAAAACTAGTATCTTGACATACAAGTTCATGGGCTAAAAAATATTCTGAACCCAACATAACTTTGCCATCGCGCACAGAATTATAGTAACACTTCTCCGGAGATCATTCTTGAAAAGATCGGATAATAAGATTTCATACTAAGAAGTTAAAACTGCAGCTGATGTACCTCTGGATCGTGAATATTCCATGTCATCTCCTCGAGTAACTTCCTTGGCCTTGTCCAGTGGGGTTACCCCACTCATATGGACCACGATAGTCACCATATTGACCAGCATAGCCGCCACTATAACCTGAATGAGTTTTCTGTTGAAAATTGCCAAAGGTCTGCATAGACCCCAAAGAAGAGAAAATGGTAAGAATCAGCAGGACCGGCATTATGCTAGTTTTTTATACAAAAAACTAGTGTATAACAATACTGGCAAACCTCAGGGTCCTGTTTCATTCGCCCTGAAAATTGGCTGTGTCTGTTCCTAGCTCCATGATTAAATCGGTTACAAGATATTGTATCGAAGAAATCATCTTTGTTATATGCAGGCTGCATACAGAGGCATCTAATTATTACAATCTATGAAGTGAAGTCGGAGATCTAATGAATGCATAGTTTAAAACTAAAGGTTATGTTGTCTGAGTTACAACATGCAAAAAGGAATACAGAACTTTGAATTCACCGCACCTTGGGATCACCAATGGGGACCAAACCAGAATGATATTCATCCCCTGGATTTTGTTCATTTACCACATTATGTTGGATCCCCTCTATGTTGTCTCTCTGCTTCGCTTTTCCAAGATAACCCCAAACCTCATCTTTTTTAAACTTCTCATTCATGGCTTCAAAATCAAATTCTTCAGTGAATTGGGAAAGGTGATGTGACTGAAAACAATCCAAAACAAACTTTTACAACACAAATATACTAGTACAACTGACTTTAATCTTACAAAAAAGGGTATCCAGGAAACAAAAACCAAAAGCAAGTGAACAGACTAAATTTCAATCTTAAAATGCATCAAGTGATGAATTTACTGTTCAAATTATCTACCGGGAAGATTAAAAATCAATTTACGGAAAGCACGACTTACACAATCATAGTCAAATTTTACTAAAAAAAAAACCTAGATAACGAGAAAATTTCAAGCCTTCGAGTGGGCAAGAGATAAGGACCTATTGATGCATTTCATGGTTTTGCTACTTTACTGTTGGCTTTATCCTACCAATAACCGATCTTGCATGGTACAATCAGTATTTAAGTAATGGGCAACCTGACTTGATAAAGCAATTAAAATGACACTGACAGCCAGTTGAAGAAACCTGTATTAAGCTGAGCGAAAGAATAAGATATGCAAGGGGCACATGGAAGGATGAGAATTTGTAGTCCAAGTGTTTCAAAGAATGAATATAAAGCTATAAGGGAACCAATCCTCCAATATTTTCTCGTCGTCAATAGATAATAACTCCAGTATATAGGAAACGGAACGGCAAAGGGAAGTAAAAATAAATAATTGGAAATGCCAATTGACACCTTAATAAGCAGAAGAATAAAGTAAATTACTTGATCTGGAATTTGAACATACATATATAAATATAACACAAGAAAATGAGAACTTCACTGAACCTGTTGGTCAGAGGGCGGCAATGGTAACAGACGACGTTGAACTGCTGGAGTAGTGACAGAGGATAAGGAATTCAAAGAAATTGAACCCATAATGCCGACATCTCTCTGATCTGGGTATAACTTCGGCATCTCAGAAATTTCAGATAGTCTGGGCTGTGACGATTGATTTGGAGTTAACAGAGGTGGTGTTTGCTTTAACAAGGGGTCTGATGTTGAATCTAGAACAGAAGACGTGGAAGGCAGCAAACCTTGAATTGGAAGCAATGTTACAGGTTCAGGAACTACATTATAACCGAGTGAAGCTTCCGTGTTACTCACATGTTGGGAAGCTAGGGAAAATGAAGGCATGGTCAATCTATTTGAATTCAAACCTGCAGTTTGATGGGAAGGCAGTGATGACTCGGGGGGCAACGATGAAAGTAAATTGGAAGGAGATGTAGGATGTTGCACAGAAGTAAGAGCGGGCTTGAAATTTGAATATATAGAATTTGATGCAGCAAATGAAGGACCAAGAGAAACATTATCGTATACTTTTGTTGCTGCCATGGTTGTAGACGACGCGGAACCAGTAGCCTCCAATAAATTCTGCACTGGATATGGTATTCTGGCGGATGAAACAGAATGCTGCTGAGCATAAGGAGTACTTCCTGCTGCTCCATTATATCCTTGCCAGTGAGTTCGCAAATCATAAGGCGTCATACCAAAACTTTGAGTGGCCTGAGGACCCTGTAGCCCCATCTGAATTCCAGAAGGATTTGGAGATCTGCTGAGGTCAGAAATTGTGTTCAAAACCGAGGGTTCATTGTAAGAGCTGGCTTCTACCATAGATCCACTAGAATATGATACTGGTCTCGACAAGTTTGAAGCTCCAACAGCATATTTTGACTGACTTAAAAATAAAGATATGATTAATGTTGTTCAGGTTATGAAAGCATTCATATCATTATTCCTTTTTACAGTGCTAAATACCTGAATAATTGCTGGGTCACTGTGTAATGGCTCCTGTACTTCAGCTGGTTGAGAGGCCTTCACTTGCAAATCCTGATATTGGACATAAAACACTCAGATATGCAAGAAATTATATGAATGAAGCAAATTCAAGGTACTCCTATTTTACAGATAATGTTTGGGATATGGAGACTGTCATACATAGAGATATAGCAAGGAGAAAAAAAAAACTAGTGTTAGATGGGTGGTTGCCGCTAGCCATCTAAAAGAATCGTTAACCAATGTAGATAAAATCCAGGTAAAAATCTTCTTGTATTCAAAAAAAGACGTAAAACTGAGGACTCTTGCCCACAAATATGGGTTGCTACACATATTCTCTGTTGGTCCAAAATATTTATAAATGTCATCCAATAGCAATTCCCAGTCTTAAATTGACTTGGAATGTCCAAAACACAGCATTGCCCCTTAAAAAATAAATTATGACGACCTTAAATAGTTCACTTTGAACAAGCTTTTCTCGAACGGAAACCAAGCAAAATTTGCACAGCTAGATTTTTTATGGTCTTACATTTATGAGCTTATGAAGCCGAGCTCAAAAATTAAAAATTTCAATTTCAACTGATTATCTAACGACTCACATAAAGAAACAATTCAAGTTTAATCATGTATTATCAGGACAGATATTAAAATGCCATTGTAGAATGTGCAGCCCAACGACTAAATCTCTCTACATATTAGTATAACCTATGTTTTAGGAATTTAAATTTTGTAAAGAAAAGGATGGTGATCTAAATACTTGTCAAAAACAATTAAAATTAAAAATATCCAGTCCTGGTTAACAGGCTCTACTCAATCACATCTTCCCTATGCTGTTGCTAGGTCAGCCAATAGTTCACTGTTTCAACCGATTAAAACATGGATCTCCATAAAGGATGCCAAGCAATATAATGTCAGACTCTGAAATTTAGCCTTAAGACGTACTGTTGTTAATCAAGTCATCCAATCATTTGAACTCGAGGAGAGTTGTTTTCCTTTGAATTCACTAGTACAAATAGGTTAACAGTTTAACAAAAATTAGCTCTCCCAACTACCACTCTCCATATTTTAACAATCAAAATCTCAAAAGATTTTAGCACTGAAGTGAAAATTCTTACATGTGCTGCAGGCACTAATATATATTTCCATTCAAGATCACGATTGTTTCCAAAATTTTAGGTCTCACCCTTAAGCCTCTTAATCCTTCTTAAAAGATTTTGAACACTTTCTTAGATACATTCTTTAATGTAGTCCCATGAATAAACGGAATTAATCATGAACTACTGCCCCACTTAACATACATGGTTTCTTATCTTCAGGGTTCATTACTGACAGAAATATGCAATAAGTTTTCAACTTATCAAGGGGGAAATAAAGAGACGAATCTTGAAAGATAAGTAATGAGCATGATCCTAACTATGATATCATTTTAGAACATCAAAATGAATCTAGTTTATAGCGTCATAGTGTACAACAAAATTTAATGTCCTCCCTCAAATTCAAGAAAACGAAAGAAAGAAAAGGAGAGGAGAGGAAGATGGAAAACAGGCATGAAACATAACATAGAGTTCAAGATGGATGCAAGAAACATCAAAATACCAATAATATCTTAGTCCAGTTAGAATGGAATACAAAAGGGTGAGTATGAGCAAACAGGATAATATCAAGAAACGACCATAAGATAAGCAGATTTGTGACCAAAAGAATTGAGATAATAAACACTGTATAAGCATCAGACCTTAGACGACCATTTGATAGGAGAGCTATTTTGTGTAATCAATTTGACTCTAGTTTAGAAATTTACCTTAATATCGCTTCCACGAAACAAAATGTATTCATAGATTTTGTCACTCGGAGGAACTTGAGGACCATCTTTCTTTCTTCCCTCAGTTCCATAAGACCTCACTGCAAGTGATCAACCAAACACAACCAGAAGTCAATCATACAATTAACAAAAAGTACGAAAGCTTATAAAAAATATAACAAACCATAGGGTGAAAAAGGTTCATAAAACTGCAGAAACATTTTAGTTCGTCGGCTCAAACCAATAACATGTATATAAATTTGACCTTTAAATGTGTAAATAAGACCATTATATCATTATATTTTCCAGTCTGAGTTGCATAAACGGCCAGTGAAGACTAACAGTCTAACATTTCATTACTAGGAGACAAACTGACTGGTTGCTGTAGGGATTTAGATTTAAACTTTACAATACCTTTGAATTGAGAGTTTTAAATAGTCCTATACTTACCTTTCCCTTTTTTTTAACTGAGATGCTTGAAAAAGGGAATACATGAGTGCCTGACTGCCTGGTTTCAGCCCCAGGCATACTATGTGGCTAGGAAAAGCATCTGAATTAGAATGTATTACTGAGATTGTTTAAAAGGAATATGATTTTACAATTTTTATTTTCTAGTTAATGGTAAAAAAAGCTTTAGAATTTTAATCAATTGAATCCAAAAATACAGACACACAGCCAAAACTTCGAAATTTAGTGCACAAGGAAGAAATAGGCGTAAACTCAAACATTTGAAAATAAAAATAGTATTTTTGGGAAGAAAACAATGTAGACAAAGAACTCAATAATGCAACAAATTACAAATGAAATGCTGAAACTTAAACATTTGAAGGACCTCCAATTATGCAACCAATAAACTAGAATTTCAATATCGGTAACTCAATTAATTTTGAGAAAATAAAACCACGTCACATCCAATAGATGTAGAAAATAAAGTATCCACTGAAATACCCATAAACAGTATGCTTCGAACATTAATATCACATAAGTATATAAACGATGAACAAATTATTGAGAAACAAAAACGAGTAAAGAGGTACCGTTTTTTAGGCCGAGGGTGGAGTCTTGAGGGTTGAGGTGGTAGAGAACACCCTCGTATCGGATCTCAAACTTCGAAATCAGGCTAATAAAACTTCCAATGTACGAGTCCGCCTGAGAGGCCGTCGTTCCGTTGCCGCTGTCGATTCTAGAGGATTCATTCGCCATCAAAAACCTTGAATCGAAACCGATGAAAATGAAAAGTGAGAAATTACAGGAAGATTGAAATCCCTTGAGTATAGTGTGCGTTTAGTACATTTTTATGGTACGCATGGGGTCATATAGAATGACGTGGACGAAAAATATTTTAAATTGATAAATAATAAAGTGATAGATTACATTATTTAGTTCATTATATAAAGTTTGATGTACATGTAACGAGATCCAATATTAAAATGACAATTGTGGGTTCCTCTATTTTGGCCTTGGACCTTAGTAGGTGTAACATAATGTCCCCATGACATTATATTATTTATCAATTTAAAACTCAGTCAATTTTTTAAGTCAATCTTTTTTTTCATTTCATTTTCGTTAATTGTTTATGTACTATTTTTATGTATAATTAGCAAAATCCTTTTGTTCTTAATTTTTAGATAATTAGCAAGTAACGTCTTTTCCTTTCAATATAATTGTGAAAAATGTAGTTATCTTTTGTTGTTTGATATTTTCGCCCTTATTTTTACCTTTCATTGCATAAAATGACCATTTCATTCATTTTCTAAATTAAAAGATATAAATAACAAATATATCAATCTATTTAAATTAAAATAATAATAATAATAATAATAATTGTAATTATAGTCACAAAAGTTTTTTTAAAAGTGGAAGTAAGTTCTAGATAAAATATTAAAAGGGTAATTTGAACATAATGTCCCCATCTTTCACTATTATTGTGAAAACATCCCTATCTTTTAGTTTTTGGCATTTTCACCCTTAATTTACTTTTAATTGCACAAACCATCATTTCTATCCATTTCCATCCAATTTCTCAATAAAGTTGTGAAATTACAAATATATCCTCCTATTTTAAAAAATTAATTACCTTTACTTTCTAATTTTTTTAATAATTTATATGGGGCTCATTCACACTTTTTTAAAAAATTAATTTTTTATTTTTTAATAATTTATTTAGGACTCGTTTGTACTTTTTTCTAAAAAAATAATTTTTAGTTTTTTAATAATTTATTTGAAAATCATTTGGCACTTTTTTCAAAAAAGGGGGGGGACTATGATTGCAATGAAATATGATGTTATATTAGTCATTTTACACTTTTTATTGAGAAATTGGATGAAAATGGATGGTTTACACAATCAAATGTATAATTAAGGGAAAATTGTCAAAAAGAAAAAAAGAAAAAAAGAAAGAAAGATATAGAAGTTTTCACAATAATAGTGAAAGTAGGGATATTATGTGCTAATTACCCTTTTACTAATTTATTTGGAACTTGTTTGTGTTTTTTTAAATTTTTTGGTACTATGGTTGCAATTAGCTATATATATATATATAGAAGATTATATTTATCATTTCATAGCTCTTAATTGAAAAAAGAGATCAAAATGACATTTTACGCAATAAAGGGTGGAAATAAGAGTGAAAATATCAAAAAATAAAAAGGTGATGATGTTTTCCATAATAATAGTAAAAGGTATGGACGTTATATATTAATTACCTTTAATTTTTTTGGGGGCAATTTGAGTCACCAACTTTTTATTTTAATTCATATTCACCCTTCGTGATTCAATTTTCAATTCAAAATGTATTAAGCTAGTTGTACACCCTTTGAGGTGTCAAAATAGAGTTCATTGATTCGAATAAGTATCGTTAAAATTAATGATAATATTGTATATCAAGTCCAAGAGTACAAAACAATGTTGTCAATCATAATATAAATGTAGCAAAATTGATCCAAAATAGGTATATAATTTGTTGAAATGACAAATATTCAATGTCAAACCTAAATAAATATTCATCGTCCTTTTTTTTCTAACCCATGATTCTATAAAGCTTTTTCAAATCCACCCAATTGCACTTTGGTGTAGTTGTGTCAACAAATTGAATTGAGTCGAGTCGGCTCCAGAGCCGAAACTCGAGGATAGGGCTTGACTTGAGTAAAATGTTTCGAACTTTTTTGCAAGCCTGAGCCGAGCTTTTGCTCAACCAAGAAATCAAGGCTCGGTCCAAATTTTCAGTTCGGGCCTTATAGAGTCGAGCCAAGTAGAGCGGGCTCGATTTTTTTTTAATAAAGGCAACACTCAAATGCCTAAAAAATTGCTGCCTTTTTAAGACAGTTGCCGCTGCTTTAAAAGCCTTAAAATAGGTAGCAACCGCGGCCTTTTAATTTTATTTTATTTTATTTTTTTAAATTAGGCCCGTGAGCCCGAGTAGGCGAGCCAGCTCGGCTTGACACCCTAAGGTAGGGCTCGACCTGAGCCTTGAGTGAAGCCGGTTCAGGCTGTTTCAGACCGACCCACTGGTGGTTCGAGCCGACGAACCCGATTGTCATCCCTACCTTCTTGTGTGTATAAGTTTTTATTGGCATGGATTATAGTTCCGTGTATTGCATAAATTCTTTAATTTCTTTCCAAAAGTAGATGACTTTTTCTCGCTTTTCGTGAATAGTCGAGATATTGATGAATCTCCAGAAAGACATTTCAAGAATAAATTTGATTCTATCTATGTTCTTTTCATTTGAAGAAATGAATTGTCTTAAACAGTCGATCTTTTCTTTTAAATGTTGAATCTCTCTTTGATTGATCAATATAAGCCTCATTTATTAATAAAAGATTTAACATGAAATTTGTGCACAATAGAGGTTGTAAGCGAGCCTGACTATACCATGCCTTTAGGTTGCATTAAGATAGCGTATAACAGCCAATCCTTTTAAAAACGAACATAATAGAGTGTGCTATTAGTTTTTTGTTGTTAGCGCCGTTGATTTAATCGACATTAATTAAATGTAGGGATATGATTCCCATTTATGATGGTAATTTAATTAGCATCACCTAGCAGTCATCTAAATAAATAGTATTACTTTGGATTGTGGCCGGTTTTAGTGGGGTTTAATCACATTTTAAATTTACATAATTTAATCTGCGATGTTTACGAAAAGGCTGCATTGGTTTTCGATTACTTCAAATTCAAGCTAAAATAATTCAGGAAAATGTTTGGTGTACAGAAAAGATTCTTACAGAAAATTTACAAATATCTCACAAAGTGTGGACCCCACATGAATAAATAATGTCAAAAAACCCACACACGCACCCACGCCGTCCATGTGAGGTATCTGTAGGGGTTCTGCATGATACACCAATCACTGCCCAATAATTCCTACTTCAATCCTAAAATAAAATATAGCTAGATCTTACAATTATTAAATAATGATAATAATAAATGTATAACCATATCTTGCAATCAGGTGGACACAATCACTGAAAACTATTTATTTTTAATTGATCACAAATTCATTTAAAAATACTCGGCCCGTGTTTGGACTCCATGAAAAGGCTTAGTTCCTATTCGAGTTTCATTTTAATGTGATTTTGGGAGAATATATATTTTAAAATAGTGATTTTTTGAAAGGAAAAAGCTACTATGACAAGGAATTGGAACATCTTTTAAATTCAGGTGCTGCGTGGCAGCACGTGACTGGGTACTTTTTTTTAAACTAGCCAACCAGATGTTGACATGTGGCACCTAGATTTAAATTCTGCTTCATTCCCTATTTTTGTAGCAAATTGTTTTTTTTTTTTTTAATGTGTGGTTAAAAGATAATAAAATGTTTTGAGAAAAAAATTGTTTTGAAATAATGATTTGAGTCAAATTGGGTGTACAAAACTCCAGCTCACTGACCTCTTACAAAGATCTCACACATGGGTGGGGTCGAAATTTTTTTCTCATTTTTTATTACATCGGGTTCCGCAGTGAGGCCGACCCTTTTGTGAGACTTCTAGTTTTCTTCTGTAAGAACAAGTCTGTACTAATGAATTTTTTGAGAAAGTGTGGATTAAGAACAAAGCCATACATAAAGGCCTTGTTGACGAGGGTTTTATAGGGATTTAGGAAAAGTTGACGTGTGAATGGTAAAAGAAAAACAAATTAAAAAATGAAGGAAATGAAAATGAATAACTCGGTCCGTTTGAAAGGGAAAAACATTTATATAAATTCATTAAATTTCTTATTCTTGTCTCAATTTTGAGGATCATTTTGGGATGTCAAATAAAATCAAAATATTGTATTTTTAATATCATTTCGAAACACTCATAAATTAATTTTTCATGCTGGTAGCAAATGTTATAGCGCATCAAATAAGTCATTTCAAACTAATATTTTGAGAACTTCAATTCCATACTAAATTTAAAAACACTTCGACGATCATACACTAATCGAATCAATAAACCATTTACGTTAGCTCAAAGCTAGTTTCGAGAATTACATCATAGATACATTGAAACATCTAAATGAAGATCAAAAATAGTTAAACGTTCGTCAAACATTTGTGTTAAAAAGAGACATATAACTTGTTTTTTCTTTAAATTTTTTCAAATATTTCATTAATGTTTATTATTTTTACATAAAAAAATTCTCAATATAAGTTACATCATCTTATTAGAAAAATTTATATAGGGTATGACGTCAAAAAAGAAATCGGATGTAAAATTACGTCATTTAAAAAGTAAATTTTTAAAAATTTCTTAAATGATCAAGAGACATCATTTAAAAATTTATTAGGAAATGACGTTAAAAAATTTATTAGAAAAATTATTTAATTATTTAAAATCTTTATTCTTGAAATGATCGAGAGGAAAACTAACATTAATGTAATAAAAAAAATCTTTAAAATGATTGATTTTTAATTTTTTTTAAGGAATTTTTATGATTTAAAAATAATTGAGAGGATCAAAGTAGTATAACAATTCATACTCCATATAAAGTAATAAAAATTTTATAATGAATTTTTACATACGAATTTTTCTTTTACATCATACCCCATATAAAGTTTTTTATAAAATGATATAAATTATATTGAAAAATTTGTAGCCCAAAAATAATAAACATTAATAAAATAACTGAAAAAATTTAAAGAAAATACGAATTATACGCCTCTTTTTAACACACACGTTTGACGTACATTTAACTATTTTTGATATTTATTTAGATTATTCGATATGTCATGATGTAATACTCGAAACAAGTTTTGAGATGACGTAGCAATCTGTTGATTCGACTAGTGTATGATTGTTGAAGAATTTTT